AATGTTAGGGAGAAAGAGTGAATGGGGAAAGCTTCACTATTATAACAGAACTTGTACAAGAAGGGTTGAAGGGAGTTGGGAGATGTGGGAGATGTGGGAGATATGAGGAGTTATGGGAGATGGTTACAAATGAAGGGGGATAGTCATATATATAGCCATCCTCCCATGCCTAAGAACAATCTAAAACTCCATCCATTATTCATGAGTGTGAAGTTCTCTAGAATACTCCAAATTATTTTCTAAACACTTTAATAAAAATAAATAAATAAATAAAATAAAAAATAAATTAATAAATTAAAAAAAATAAATAAAAAATAAATAAACAAACAAAATAATAAAAATAATAAATCTATAACATTCTAGATAGTTCTAGAGTATCCTAAAATACTCTCTAAGTATCCACACTTTCTAGAATATTTTAGAGTACTCTAGAATCTTTAACAAAACTCTAAACCTTTCTAGAACCTTGCACGACCTTCCAAAATCTCCTAGAATTTTCCAAAACCTTCTAGAATATTCTAGAGCATTCTAAAATATTCTAAAACCATATATATCCTTCCAGAACCTTCCAATATCATGTGACCCAATATAGGAATATTTTTGGAGGATTTTTTTGGCCTTCATTTGACATGTCACGCCCAAGGGGTTTGGCCAAACCTAAGTCCAACATTGGGGCGTGACACTATCTCCCACCTATTCTCATGATGCCTTCAGTGTGAGCCTTCCATAATCTATGTCGAAGGTCCTCAGATTGCCACAGGCCCATCCTGCTCCCTCGATCCTTTGTCTTTTCTTCCATGTTGGACTCCTCGTCATCTGTTGGAGCATCAAATACTTGGGACCCTAGGTTGATTTCCTCATCCTCCAGTGGTGCTTCAAGGACTTGGGATCTCCCTCACAGTCTTGGCGCCACCTCAAGCTACTCCTTTGGCAAGACATGTGAAGGTACATCGAAAACTTTCACTATCCCTATTACAAGCCTTCAACTTGATCCTCTAACTTACACCCAAGAGTTAGATAGCCACCCCATCCCTTGGTATGCCATCCACAATGGGAGACTCCTCGCCCTTGGAGTTGACTCCCTCTTGTCCTTGCTCCCAAATCACCTGTGTATCCTCCACCTAATCACCACTCTTTCCATTCGTCACCCCTTGACGCTTAGCTTAGAGCATTGAGGCTATCTTAGGATATTGCCTTGCCCAATGAGGTCCTCCACAATCAAAGCAGACATTTTGAATCCTTCTCCGCTCCTATACAACCCTTGGCTTGCTCATCTCATTGTCCATCACCCTTACAATATAATGTCCTGGCAAGCCTCCTCTTTTCCCTTGCCCATTTGCCACTCTCGTTGCTCTAGCCCCGACGCATTGAGTTCTTCCCTAGAGAAACTGTGTCTTGTGGTGGATGTCTCTGCTAAGGTATGCCTACAATCCTCATATAAGTCCCCAACTCGAGCTAACATCCCATTAAACTCCCTCGTAAGCTCTTCATGCACCGTCTACCTGTCCATCAAGTATTTCTCCAATGAAGAAACCTTGCTTCGTCTCGTAACCTGGATAGTGGAACCTTTTTCCACTATGCTATTCCCATCTTCACTTTTATCATCAATCTGCTAGGTCCCCATGCCATTCGTAGCCTCTATTTGTCGAGGTAAATGCGAATTGATACTAGAGATTCTCTCTTAGGATTTCCCCCCTGGCTTGGATGCTGGATCACGCTGTTCATCCATTCCTTAGCTTCCCCATGATGACTCTACACATGACATTACCAACCTGTCACCTCTTTGACCTTATTCCTTGTATTGGGATTGAACATGCTCTGTCACAAAGTGATATTCCTTGAGTCTTTTGTGTGACCTTTGCACTCCTTCCTTGTGCCAAGTCAGCCTAAAAACTCTCACAATGCTTGGCTAAGGAGGAAAAAATGCTAGAGAAAGATTTAATGGGAAAAGCTTTATTATTATAAGAGAACTTGTACAAGAAGGCTTGGAGGGAGCTAGGAGATGCATGTGGGGAGTTGTGGGAGATTGTTACAAAAAAAGGGGGAAGGTCCTATTTATAGCCCTCCTCCTATGCCTAAGAATAATTTAGAACATCCTCCATTATTCATGAGTGTGACAGTCTCTAGAAAACTTCACATTATTCCCTTCACTCTTTACATAAATCCATAACATTCTAGAGAGTTATAGAGTATCCTAGAATACTATCTAAGTATCCACACTATTCTAGAATATTCTAGAGTGATATAGAATCTTCTACAAAATTCTAGACCTTTCTAAAACCTTCCAAAATATTTTGGAATATTTTAGAACCTTCTAGAATATTCTAGAGTCTTCTAGAATCTTCTAGAACCCTCTATATATTTCTAGAATCTTCCAACATCATGTGACCCCATTTAGGATGATTGGTTGTGTTGGGTAAAAAGATTATTTGTCTTTCTAGAAAGATAGTAATCTAATTTAGAGAGGGGGGGGGGAGAGAGAGAGAGAGAGAGAGAGAGAGAGAGAGAGATTGTGTATTATACAACTATGTTTTAGAACATTTGAGCATATTTTTCTTCCATATATTTTACCTGAGTAAAAAAAAAAAAATCTGATAATGAGTTAAAATAGTTATAAATATTATTAGTATAATCGATTAGCCTACAAAATATCATTTATTTTCCTTAAATACTAACCATTCAAAATTTGTGGTGAAGATTGAGTGTTGTTGAAGCTCCTCTCTATGCTGAAGGTGTAGGAGTTAAGTTGTTTTTGTATCCTAAGTTTCTCAGGTAATGGTTCTTGCTAGTGTTGTCCTGTTGCAGAAAATTCTTCCCACAATGAACCCGGAAGAAGACAATGTCATAATGGTATTAAAGCCTATCAAGAATGTTGCCTCGATGAAGTCATGCAACGACCTCTACATGATGCACTGATTGAAGATTTTTAATGGGAAATTGCTCAACTGCAACAAAGACTTGCAAGATTCGAACAAGGGAGGCAAAGGATATGACAAGAGGAAGTGTAAGATATCATCCCTTCTCATCAAGAAGCATCGAGTGATGAACAATCTGTAGGGCTACTTTACTCCATCATTAAAATTGAACTACTTGATTTTGAAGGCAAAATAGATCAAGATGAGTTCATCAATTGGCCGCACATTGTCGAAAGAATTCTTGAGTTCAAAGAAGTCCGGGTGAACCATATTGTTAAAATTATAGCCATCAAGTTGAAAAAGAATGCATCTCTTTGGCAGGAGAACCTAAAATTAACTAGCAATCGGGAAGTAGAAGCAAGATCGTTACATGGGGATAAAACTTGTTTTTAATGACTATTATAAATCTTACACCATGTAATTTCTAATATGCCTTACAGTGTTTTATTTTGGTAATTTTAATTGTAAGAAATAAATATTTTACTAGTTGGTTTCATCTACATGAAAATTTTAATACTTTCTATTCAGAATGGTAATTTTGACTAGCTATAATTCATTAAAGACCTAAAATAATAATTGAAAGATTTCTTATAAATAATTTTTCAAATGTTAAATGTTGAATGTGTGGGTAAATTGTACATGCATCATCCTCTAAAATATGGTATACATGAGCTTATATTCATGTTCAATATCATGTATATCTTGTAATCTTGTTTATTTCTACATATTCATTCATGTTCATATAGCATAAATTCTGATGTTGGAGATCATTAAAGTCCACTGCAGGTTCCATTATATGGGTCGAACTTTTTGTTCGATCAATTCGGCTTCTAGTTCTTTCCCCAACTACTTTATGTAAATGTGAGAAGTTACCTCATCTACTTTATGCAAGTGAGCGAGGTTCAAAAGAGTTATAAGTGAATGTAGAGTTATAAGGGGAATCGGGTTGGTCTCCTTCACCTACTCAGGGTTGATCATGAACGACATAAGTAAAAGTGGAGTTATAGAGAGACATCAAAACACGCATATCATAATTCATGTGGTGTACTGTATTAAATGAAATAAGTTTAAAAGCAACGAATGTTTTGTTAATAAGTATACCATGATATTTTTATACAAGTATACTCAAATACTTCTACGATAGTATAAATGAAAATATATGTTATGTTATTAAGTATACTATGACACCCCTATAAAAATGCAAGTGAAAGTACACATTGCTATTTATGATATTCAAGCTCAAATACTAAGTTCTAAAAAGTTGATTATGATTTACATTCAGGTTTAAAACATGTTATGTTATCCTTCTGATAATGTTGGCATAATTAATCATTTTTTAATATTTTCTACTAGTAAATTCTTTTTTTTTTTTGTTAATTTAAAATGATTATTTAAAAACTTCTATTTATATATTTATGATAGGAATTGTAATCGACTATTAAGCATTTGAAAACAACCTTCATTTTTAATGGCTCTTCTTCTTTTTTTTTTTTTTAATCAATATCGAGTTCAGATATAATTTATTTTATTTTTTTGTTGACGAGGAACCGTCCACTGTCACTTCCAGGCTTGCCAAGAGCACTTGGCGATACGTAAACCTCGATCAACTTAGATGAGTTACCCACACCTATTAGAGCTCGTGAACAACGTTTATTGGGCCCCCACGAAGGAGGTGCTGCCGCCAGATAGATTCGAACACGAGATGAGGGTACCCAGCCGTGCCCGCTAACCAACTTAACTAAGCAAAGGTACTTTACCCTCTGTTCTTTCTTTGTTTTTGGTTAGAGTATTGTTGTTGTTGTTTTTTTTCTTTACAGCTTTAGGTTCTTTAATTGTAAAATTGGATAAGTTGTTTTTTTAGCTCTGACCTTTATAATTATATTTTGTAGAATGAAAATATGGGCTTTGCACTTAATCTTCCCATGAAAATATTGATCATCAGCCTAAAAAAAATTATTTTGATTTAAAGGAATCATTCAGATTCAGACATATTTTTTTTAAAGAATAAACTAAGGTGTATTTTTTTTCTTCTAATTTCATGCATTTTAGATCTATATAAAATTCAAAATTTCAAATTTAAAACATTTTATCCTATATTAGTCTACCTTTCTGTCTCCCGCTCCATGGAAGCAATCAAACTACTCCACGGCCAACTCATTGTCTCAGGTCTCCATAGGCACCCGTTGCACATCTCTAAAGTTCTCGCCTTTTACACTATCTCCCCTTCTCATCTCCCTCATTCTCTCCTCATCTTCAACCAAATAGAAAACCCTAACACCTTCATCTTCAACACAATGTTTAGAGCCTTTGCCCAAAGCAACACCCCAACGGAAGCCCTCCTTCTCTACAGCCAATCCAGAGCTCTAGGGCTCAAACATGACAACATGACCTTCCCTTTCGTGCTCAAGGCTTGCGTGAAGATTCCAGCCATGATAGATGGTCAGTGGATTCATGTCCATGTTCTGAAACTAGGATTCATCTCTGATGTCTTCATATCAAATGCACTGATTAGTCTGTACTCATCTTGCAAGGAATTGGGTTATGCACGACAGCTGTTTGATGAAATGACGGTTAGAGATTTAGTGTCATGGAACTCTTTAATTTGCGGGAGTGCAAAGGCTCAACGATTTAATGATGTTTTGAGGCTTTTTGAAATGATGCGTGCAGCAAAAGTAAAGGCTGATGGGGTGACCATGGTGAATGTCATCTCTGCTTGCACACAATTGAGAGAATGGGAATTGGGAGAGACTGTGGTCAAGTATATAGAGGACAATTGCATAGAGGTTGATTTGTATCTTGGAAATACTTTGATAGACTACTATGGCCGACGAGGATTTGTGGAAGATGCTCAGAAGTTGTTTGATGAAATGAGGGAGAAGAATTCGATCACTATGAATGCGATGATTGCGACATTTGCGAAGGCTGGAGACTTGGTTGGTGCAAGAAAGATGTTTGATAGGATGCCTGAGAGGGATTTAGTTTCTTGGAGCTTGATGATTACCGGGTATTGTCAAATGAAAAATTTCCTAGAAGCACTAGAACTATTCAGAAAAATGCAGAAAACTAAGATAAAGCCAGATGAAATTGTGATTGCAAGTGTCCTCTCTGCTTGTGCGCATCTTGTTGCACGCAATCTCGGGCGGTCAGTTCATGCATGCATTCGAAGGAATGGCATAACAATGGATATTTTTGTTGGGAACACCTTGATTGACATGTACTCCAAGTGTGGATGCATCAGTGAGGCGTATAAAGTATTTGATGGCATGAGAAAGAAGGATACTCTGACATGGAATTCGATCATATTGGGGCTGGCGACTAGCGGAAATGGCGACAGTGCCTTGCAGGCTTTTTCTGATATGTTGAGGACGGAGTTTAAGCCTGATGAGGTGACATTCCTGGGTGTCTTGATTGCCTGCGTGCACTCTGGGTTGGTTGATGAAGGGCTTAAATATTTTGAGAGCATGAGAGAAGTTCATGGGGTGGAGCCTCAGATGAAGCATTATGGATGTGTTATTGATCTTCTTAGCCGTTGTGGTCAATTGGACAAGGCTTTTGAGTTCATTGGAGAAATGATAATGAGGCCTGATGCAATAGCATGGAGGGCTTTCCTGGGAGCTTGCAAGGTTCATGGTAATGTCACAATGGCAGAGTATGCCAATAAGAAGCTCAATAAGCTTGATCCTGGTGACAGTGGGAACTATGTTCTCCTTTCACATGCATATGCTGCAGCTGAGAGATGGAATGATGTGGTGAAATTGAGGGAAAAGGTGGCTGAGGTTGATATACGGAAGAATCCTGGTTGGAGCATAATTGAAATCGGCAACTCTTCAGTAAGCTCGAAGGTGGCAGCTTCATGAATAAGAATGAGAATTTGATGGAATCAATAGGGAATGCAAAAATTAATGCAGCGTCCATGGATTTTAAGACTTCTTTACTGCAGTCAGGAGATTTCTATACTAAACTTTGATGGCTCAGATAAGCTGAAGAAAGCATAGAAATTTTTTTAAAAGCTCAGAATTTTATCCAGGTTTGAATTCACTCTTCGAACTCTAAGATTTTTAAGCTAGCTGATCCCATCCAAGCTTAGTTACTCCGATTAAACGTAAAAGACCTCCATTTGAATACTTCTCAAAGAACTATCTTCTCTCATTTAATCTCTCCATTACTCAATAAAAATTTTGCAGTAATTCTTAAGCTGGTTTATCTCATCCTTCTCTTCCATCTCCTATTTATATGAGTTTAAGGAGCAGGAATTCAAAACAAAATATAGTCCAAATAATAAAATTTCCAACAACATTTTGAACAAAAAAAATAAAGAATAATTTTTATTTCACATTATTGAGTCAAGGTAGGGAGCTGTTGGCATATAAGCTCCCTAACTTGACTCAATAATGTGAAATTTTATTTTCAATTTCCTTTATGACTCATTTGCTCTAGACTACGCTATCTGAGCTCTCAAATCTACAAAGGCCTGAGCAATACATAAGCAAACCTTACTAAGATGATGCTTAAACTTAGCTATCGTTTGAGACAACTTTCTGATTCGTGTTTATTGGAGGCATCACCTAAAATTCATAATAGTCTTTTCTTGAATATGTAATTTTGTTTTCAATTGAGTTAGTTTATTTATTTTTATTTTTTGACTCAGAAATATATAATCTATCTTCATTAAAAATGACATTATCGCTGACTATTATTTTAACATCAGGCAATCTCAAATCCCACTATCAGTATCATTTAATACTTGAAGGATATCCTAGAAACACACATTTAACTGATCTAGGCTCTAACATTTCTTTGTTCTGATGAATAGAAGCTATACAACCAAAACCCTTAAATGTGTCAAATCTGATTATTTTTTAGTCTATAATTGCTATGGAGTTTTAAAATAAACAACACTAGATGGTATTTTGTTTAATAAATAACATGCTATAGTAAGTGCTTCACCCCAAAGAATTTAGACAAACCAGAACTATAAAGCAAACATCTTACTCTATCAAAAAGAGTCCTATTCATTCTTTCTGCAAGGTCATTTTGTTGAGGTGTATAGCTAACTGTCTTATGTCTAATGATACCAGAATTTGAACAAACTCATTAATATTTTCATTACAGAATTTCAACTCATTATCAGTTCTTAAAACCTTAAGTTTTCTATTCCTTTGATTCTCAACCAATAATTTTCATTCTAGAAATTTAGAAAATGTTTCATCCTTTGATTTTAGCAAGAAAATTTAAACCTTTCTAGAACAATTATCAATGAAAGAAAGAAAATACCGATTGCCGCCAGGCATAGAACTGTAGCAGGACCCCATAAATACGAATGAATATAATCCAAAACATTCTTTGTCCTCTATGCTGACAATCTTAAACTAAGCGTATGTGATTTACCAATTATACAAGGTTCACAGAAATCAATCTATGCAACTGAATCACTGTCAAACAAACCCTGTTTCTGTAACTTTACCAAACCTCTGTCACTCAATTGTCCCAATAGTTGATGCCATGATTTAGCTGGCACATGGGTTTCACCTACCACTGTAGCACCCAACACATAAAGCTCATTTTGTTTTAAGCCTTTCATAACTACAAGTGCTCCTTTCAAAATTCTCAACAAACTTTCTCGGATTTGAAAAACATAACCAAAGTCATTCAAAGTCCCTAAATAAATTAAAATTCTCTTCAAATCAGGAACATGTCTTACATCCTTGATAATTCTCACCTGACCATGTGCATCTAATTGTAATGGAACCAATACCAAAACTTGTTTCCAAGTAAGACCTTATCTCTATTTAGATTTTAGTAATTAGTGAATCACTCCTTAATTAGATTGGTGATAAGTGCAACCTAAATCGAAAATTTTTTCCTTAGATCTCTGATGATTACTAATTGTAAGAATATCAACACTATCATAATTCTCTCCAACAATTGTTGCATTCCCCTTGAGATTGAGACTAATCTTTTGAAACCTTTTTAAGACAACTTTCTGATATGATCAATTTTATTATACTGCCAACATTTCAAATTCTTGTAATATTTCTTAGAGGCTTATACTTTTAGATCTCTCTTTTTTGAAACCATTCCTCTTTGTTGAGAACTACCATGTACATATATAAATCTTTCCCTTGATAATTTTTTTCGGAGGTTTTCAAGTCCAAGATCTTAGAAGAGAGAGCATTCTGGACTTCATTCATTGTTATTGTTCTTCCATATTTTAAATTTCTTTGAACTTTTTTAAAGATGTGGGTAGTGAATTAATCATAATAATTGCCTTATCTTCATCCTTAATCTGAACTTCTAGATTTTTAAGAGCCAAGATAAGCTTATTAAATTCATCTAAATTGTCATCAATAAATTTTCCCTCATCCATTCTATATCCATAGAACTTCTCTTTCAAATATATCCTATTGGGAAGAGTTTTTTTATCTATTCAATTCTTCTAATTTTTTCAATAATTCAGACAATTTTTACATGAGAGAACCTAATTTGTCAAACACAAAATGATCAAACTAAAAACGTTTTTCTGTATATGGACCTTTTGGACCTTTTCCTGATCATAAATAGATGTAGGTAATTCTGATTTAAATAAAAAAGCTTTTTGAACTGCTTGTTGTATTAAAATTGTTTCTAATTTCATTTCCAAAAAAATGAAATTGTTCTTCCCATCAAATTTCTCCATGTCAATCTTTGTAACATATATTTTGTAAAGAATCTTGAAAAATAAATATGCTCTGTTACCAAATTGTTGGGTGTACAAGGAGCAATATATATATCTGGAGCTTTTAAGAAATTTGCAAAACTCTCAATCAAAGTTTAAAAGTAAATTTTAACTAACAATCTTTATTAAATTTTAAAAAGATAGAGATGAAAATTTTCACTTGGATAATTAATTAAAAAAAAGTAGTTACAAGATAAACAAACTTTCTTTCTTCAAATCTTTATACATAACACCCAAAAATAACTTATTTACTCATCTAACATCTAAACTTTAGTATTTACATGCCTACCACCTTAATGACCTAATCCTCATCAAAATTAACACGTCGTTCGACTCCGTGAAAACCACGTCGTGAATACATCCTCTCGTGCACGGGAAACAGAGTAGCTCTCTCACGTTGCCAGCAGCTCTCTCATCTCGCATTGGCTGATTCATCTCATTCAGCAATTCGACAAATAAAAGTAGAGAAAATAACCAGGAAGCTGGGAAATGAAATTGATTTCATTTCATTTTCATTAACCATCAAGTTGCACTATATGCTAACAGAGCTTGAATTCTATTACAGCTTGTATACGAGAATCAAACAACAGATAATGAGGAGGAGAAAGTGAAACGACCAAGAAATTCAGCTGTGCGCACAAATTTGGATTCAAATTAAATGTGAGGAACGTTTTGCAGAAAATTATAAAATATCGTAAAGAAAATAGAGCAAAGAGGAAGAAGATGAACAGTAGAGAGCAGTGCGGAAGCAATTTAGGAGGCTTCACTTGCAAAAAACATAAAACTAAAAACAGAGAAAAGCTAAAGTGAAGAAATATTGAGCTGAAGCTTTTCATCAATTTCATCCATCATACGATGCTACAGTAAAGAAGCTTATCAATTTGAAATCATTCGTTATCAGGATTTACGTGAATATAACCGGCGGCCAAAACTAAGCTGGCGGGAGGTCTGCACCGGCCCGACCTAATGGGAAGGAGGGAAGGTGAGCTGCAACGTTAAATAGTTTAGATGGTAGATGAAGGCAACTCTATATGAGATAGCTGCAGGCAACGCGACTGGCGGGAGGTCTGCACCGGCGTCGGTCCAATGGGAAGGAGGGAAGGTGAGCTGATGGTAGATGAATGCAAATCTAGATGAGAAAGCTGCAGGCAACGCGAGATGAGAGAGCTGCTAGCAATGTGAGAGAGCTACTCTGTTTCCCGCGCACGAGAGAATGTATTCGCGACGTGGTTTTCACGGGAGTCGAACGGCGTGTTAATTTGGATGAGGATCAGGTCATTAAGGTGGTAGGCATGTAAATACTAAGGTTTAGATGTTAGATGAGTAAATAAGCTATTTTTTAGACCTGTCAATATTGGACCCGACCCGAAAACCCGACCCGAACCCGACCCGGAATTTTCGGGTTTGGGTTGACCCGAACCCGAAGCGGGTCGGGTTCGGGTCCGGAAAACCGACCCGTTTGCAAAAACGGGTCGGGTCGACCCGAACCCGAATAGTGCCGGGTCAGTTTCGGGTTCGACCCGAACCCGACCCGTAACCCGAAATTGACAGGTCTACTATTTTTGGATGTTATGTATGTAAAAACCCCTATTTTTAAATGCCTCTATCTAATCCTATAAAATTGTTTTACTTTATTTTTTATTTTGTCCCTTTATCTTAAAGTTCAAAATTAATAATCGATGTTTTGTACATAAATTTTTATTTGGAATAACTTTACAATCTTTGCAATCTAAATGATCTAATTTTTTTATAAGAAAATAATCAATTTGTATTTTACTATATCCATTTTTATAAGTGATAAGATGCTTATCTCTTTTTTTAAATAAGGTATTAGCTATTAAAAAAGTATAAGCTAAACAAAAATCTAATATAGTTTTACCACCTTCATTTGTTGTTCCAAATCCATAGCCATCAAGAATGCTTTTAAAATCATCTATATATGTACCAACATGTCCATTTAAATCTCAAAAAAAAAAAAAACTCTTTCTTCAAGAGGTAACTTTTATATTAATTCTATAAGTCATTCCAAAATATAAATTTTGAACTCATATACAAACCTATTTAAGGAGCATAAGCACTTATAATATTAACAATCTTAGAATTAACAACAATCTTTAAAGTTATAACTCTATCTCCAATTCTGTTAATTTTTATAACATTATCCTTCAAACTCTTATCTGTAATCACACATTCACCATTTCTAGTACAACTCCTACCTCAATACTATAATTTATATCATAAACTATCAATCTCTTTAGCCTTCTCTCCAACCCATTTAGTTTCCTGAATGCACAGAATATTTATTTTCCTATGAAATATAATACCTATTAATTCCATTAATTTTCTATAAGGGAGCCT